CAGGATTTGGTTGTACCCAAAGAAAACATCCATGAAACTGAGCATTTGATGACCGGCCGTAGCGTCGACCAGCAGATCTATGCGGGGAAGAGGATAGCTGTCTTTGGGACAAGCTCGGTTTAGGTTAGAGTAATCGACACAAAGTCGGCATTTGGCATTGTTCTTGCGGACCAGGACCACGTTTGACAACCATTTAGGGTAATCCACGTTTTTGATGAATTGGGCCTCAAGGAGCTTGTCAACCTCTGCGGCTATAAGTTTATTGCGCTCTGGATGGAAGATGCGCTGCTTCTGGCGGTAAGGTCGGAAATGGGGTTCGATGCTGAGGCGGTGAGTTATGATCTGAATGGGTCCAGGAAAATACATCATTGTGCTCGATCAGAAGGGCGGTAAGGTCGGCCTTAGCTTGGAGGGATAGTTGGCTGCCGATCTTGGCAGTCTTCATAGGGTTGGTGGGATCGATGGGAACCTCAACGAGCTCCTCAATCGGTTTTCCTCTGACCAGTTCATCCTCATCTCGGACGTCAAGTCCTTCAATGATCATGGCCTCCTTCAGCTTGACTTCCTTGAGTGAGATGACATAACATTCCCTGGCTACAGTTTGCTCTCCCCTTACTGTCCCGACGCCCAGGTCGGTAGAGAACTTTATGGCGAGGTGGTACGTTGAAGTGATAGCTTGGAAAGCGTTGAGGGCGGTGCGGCCAAGGATGATGTTGTAGGCAGAGGGACAGTCGACCACAAGGAAAGTGACCAACTTGGTAGTCTGCCATGGGTATTCGCCGATGGTGAGAGGGAGATCGATGGAGCCGACGGAGGTCACCCGGTCGCCAGTGAAACCGACCAAAGGGGTTTAGAGGGGAGACAGGCTTTCCTCCCCGATCTTGAGCTGGTAGAAACAGTTGAGGAATATGATGTCTAAAGAATTGCCATTGTCGATGAGGACCCGTCTGACCTTATAGTTGGAGAGGAGGGCAGAAATGACGAGAGGGTCATCATGAGGATAACGGATGCTTGTACAGTCGGCGTCCGTGAAGGTGATGGGCTCTGTCCACTGCTTGGGCTGTCTGGAGGGTCAGTCTACCGTGGCAACTGCTCTGTCTGAGCCTTGCCTGATCTTCTTGAGTTCTGCCCTCTGAGCGGAGCGGGATTGTCTGCCACAAGCAAGGCCACCTGAAATGACTCGGATTTCGCCAACTGGCGGAGGGGGATTACTTGGCGGCTGAGGCTGTTGTGGGGGGTGATCATGGCCTTGGTTAGGTTAGGCTGGCTGCCGGGGTGGGATACGCTGGCAGTTATTTCTGAGGGGCTCGATTCTTTGCCTCTGCTGTGGGCGGGTGTCTGTGAACCGGCTGAGACGCCCTTGACGAATGAGGGTCTCGACCTGATCCTTGAGGTTAATGCAGTCATCAGTCTTATGGCCATGGTCCTAGTGGAAACGACAATATTTGGACTGGTCTTTCCGATTGGAAGGGGTCCGTGAGGGTAGGGGCCATTTGATGGGGTAGTCCCGTTAGATCGGGTGGAGGACTTGTTCCATGGGAGAATTAAGGGGCGTGTACCGCTCGAACCGACCGGGCGGTCGGGCTGGTGCCGACAGGTCAGCGCGAGGAGGTCGGTTGGTATAGTGGGGTGTTTGGCTGTTATACTGGGTGTTTCTGGATTCTGAGTCTTTTCTCTTTTCTCTAGGGGACGGGTTTTTAAATATTGGATCCTGCCAAGCGGCTAGTGAATCTTCGGTATTCATGTGTTTCTGGGCTTTGAAGAGTAGGGCGGCCATGAAGGTCGGGGTGTTTTTAGAGAGGGAGAAGAGGAAATTGGACGATCGTAGCCCGGCCATGAAAGCCGCGAGGATGACCTTGTCATCGTTTTTCGCTACCTACAGGGCTTCGGTGTTCAAGCGGGTAACGAAACTGCACAGGGACTCCCCTTCGGTCTGACGGATGTTGAGGAGTTGGGTTACAAGGCGGCGTTGGCGTTGGGCTCCAATGAAATGGCTAAGGAAGGAGTCACTGAGATGCTGGAAAGTGGAGACAGAGTCTGCTGGTAACTGGCTGAACCACAATCGAGCTAACCACTTCAGTGTCACGGGGAAAGCCCGACACATGATCTCGTCAGGGAAGGCATAGAGGATCATGACGGTACAGTAGGTCTCCAGATGGTCGACTGGGTCCGTCGTACCGTCAAAAGAGTCAATGGTGGGCATCTTGAACTTGGCGGGCAGAGGTTTGTCCCGGATAGAGGCAACAAATGGTGAGCTTGCCGTGGTAGAGGGTTTATGCTGAATGTTCTGCATGACCTCTTGGAGCTGGAGCTTCATTGCTCGGAGTTCAATGTCCCAGAGGGGAATATGGTCACCATGGTCAGTCAATGGGGGCTGGACGCTGCTGGCTTCCCCTTCAGGGACTGGTGCCACGACCGAAGGGTGTGGGGGTGGAGATTGTAGATTTACATGCGGAGGGGGGGAGATTGCAAACCTTCCAAGTTAGGTGGATAGGGTTGCGAAACAGTATGGCTCGGGGCTCTTTCTTAGTTGGGTGGGATATCTAGAGGTGGTGGAGGAGGCATCGGAAGGTTTCTTTGGAGTAAAGCATTTATCAGTGCCTGGTTTTGTTCGACCATGTGGTTAATGCTGTTGGTAAGCTCAATGATATACTGTGGTGGGTTGTTTGGATTGGGAGGGTCGGTTTGATGGTTTGCAGCATTATGGTGAGAAGCCATGAATCTAATTGTGACCATACACTTGGATGGATAGGAGGAAAAGGTTGTTAGGACAGGGTCTCTGGCGACAATGAGCACAACTGGTGTCTGGATAAGAACCACTTCCAACAGACGGAGCCAACTGATGATACAGTTTGTCCTAGTGAATGGATCGAACTGGTCCAAGCTCCTCAAGCCCAGGTCTAAATGATCAAGCCCACCGGATAACCTGCAAACAAGTTCAACAGGAAACGGGGTAGTCCCCTAGTGAACCCTCAAACGAGCAAGTTAGGAAGAGAAGTAGAGTGTAGAGGGAGAGATTAGAGATAGAAAAGCTTAACCTTCTTCTTGTCTTCAACGTTTGCTTATATCCTTTGATAATCATTTCGCTGTCCCTCCCGACCTGACCTCCTCGCCGAAAGTCTATGCTGTAGCTTACCTTGTTCAGGGTAAGGGGGTCCTGTTCCGATGAAGAGGTGTTGTCGTAATAAATGCTGTGATGGGTTGCATTAATGGTGATATGCAGTGGCAATAACTTTGCAGATCTTTATCTGCTGATGTGGTTCGTCCTTCACCTGCCATGTGTCTGAATGTCATTGGCTCTTTATACCATGTTGGATTCCAGTTGTCCTGGACCTCACCAGCTGAGTTATGTATTGGGCTCCAAGTGATGGGCTTGGGTTGTTCATAGTGATTCATGGCCTTTATGAGCTTATACACGTCAATAGTCTTTTAGAAATTTTGGGACCATGATATCAACCATTGTTGTTTGGTTTTCAACCGTCACTTAATGGCAAGGGGCTCTTTGTAATGTGATTGGACAACTTAGGGAGGGTTTTGTAATTTCTCAAATATAGAGGAGTAATTTATATTAGTATAAACCTTAAAGGGTGTAAATGTAATTTACCCTTTTGTTTTTTTGGCTCCGCTCTTTTGGTTAATTTGCCATGGACATTTGGCCATACGTGAGTGATCAAGTCATTGTTGACTAGTCTTCACGTGGATCCCCACCACCAAAGTTTTGTTCATGATTCTTCTTCTTTTAAAATTTGGGTTAATTTAGTTATTTTCCTTTTATCTTATTTATTTTTTTATTTTTTTATTTTTCTTATGGAGCGTATGTGATTAAGTAATCATTGATTTGACCACATATAGCATCCTATCCACAAAAGGGAATTTACAATATGGTTCTACATGATGTTGATACACCTCCAGTTTGATTTTGAATTTTTAAAAATAATTTTTAAAATTTTTAATTTGTATTTTTGTATTTTTAGTATTTTTAAAAAATATTTTAATCAATTTTTTTTTTAATCCAATTAATCTTAATATATTTAAAATGTATAAATTTTTTTTAAAAAATTCATTGAATACAACCAAATTGAATACAACCAAATACGAGAGTTTGTATTCTAGCATTACCCAAAATGTTGATATATGCATACATGTTCTCACTACCAAATTTTATGTACTGAAAAAATATCACAAAGTTCGTTTGTTCCTCTTCATCTTTTCCCGCTTTCACTATTATTTTATTACTATTATATATTGTTTTGGACAACTATTGTTCATGACTAAATTTAAGCTTCCTAATGGTGGGTGTTGTGAAACTATTTCTTTGTTAACACGAGAGGAAAAAACAATTTTAGTACAGTGACAATACTATTCCCAAATTCTCACAGACTAATTTCTATTTTTATATTGACTCTTACCAAACGAAAAAGTATCAAAACCACGTAGGGGTCTTCAGCCATCTTTAAACATTAAGTGTTTTACAGCCATACCACAATGGATAAAATAGATTTTGTCCTAAATTTTTCTTTTCTTTTCTTTTCTTTTCTTTTAATCAGCAAAAGGAAGTGTATTGATGTAATATGATGGAGTACAAGTACATACAGATACATCAAGAAAGAAAAAGTTCTGGCAATGGTAGAAGCATTTTATTGCTGATGTGGTCATATTATAGTTTCATTTAAAGCGTTTCTAATGATAATGTGCTTTTCCTCTAAATACTAGTGCAATAATGGTTTTGAATTTTTAAAAATAGTTTTTAAATGTTTAATTAATATTTTTTTAATGAATTTTTTGAATATTCAAGTCAATACAAACTATATATATATATATAATATATGAAAATAAAATGATTTTTGTACTTTTTTTTAGTATTTAATGAATTTTCTTAAAGAGGTGATAATGATCATGCAAAAGATAGCGTTTAGAGGGTTTCAAAGAAACTTTTTCAAAAGCATGGACTATTTTCAAAACTTGAGGTGATAAGCAAGGCCTTTTTGCAAATAAATATCTTGACAAAAGTACTAGCAAGGATCAAACTCATTTCATTCTGAAATAAGCCAATTATTTCTTTCTACTTACATTTTACAGATCACATTGGAGATTTGGAGGAAGAAAACTTGCATTAATTTCTGGTACACCTAAACATGATGGAATCAAGAACGTTTTCATTTCCCAGAAATTATAACCCATTAAGGTCATGTTTGTTTGGGTGGACATGAGCTTGGAATTGAACTAATAGTCCAATAAAATTATTAATCCGATGTTTGGTTAAACAATTGAAATACGGACTAATTATTTTAAACTTAACTATTAGTTAAGATAGGATACATAATCCAACGGATTCGTAGTCCTAGGACTATTAGTTATGGGAATACTAATCCAGTCCGCCCAAACAAACATGACCTAATTACTATAAACTCCCAAAGGCAATATTTGAGGAATTTCAAACTCCCACATATCAGGTTGGATTTCAAATTCCAATGATTCTGATTGTGATTCTACATCGCTGATTGATCCATTAACAAACTCTCTCAGCCTATTTGATACCCGTGCAGCTTCAAATTTAGGAGCCAATTCCCCAATCTACATACAAAAATGAAAAATGAAGCAAATTAAATGTGGAGTTTCATTAACAATGAATTAAATGGTTGCACATTTTTTAATTGGTAAAAATACTGGCAAATTTTTCGAATGCTGACCTTTGCGTGTACTACGTGGCGAATTGAATTTCCAACGACTGAGAAACTGGCATTGACAACCTCGGCACCTTCTTCATGAATTAAACGAATGATTTCATGAAAGATGAACTTGTCTTCTTGCCCACTTATCAGAACCACATTCACAGCAGGACCCATTTCTCGAATCTCGATTTGAGGTGATTTTAAAGCTTGTTTGAAATCAGTTATGCATGAATGTGATCTTTTTCTACCTAATAGTGTTTCCTTCTTCTCCTTGTATTTTTCCAACCTCATTTGCAAGCTTTTTATGTATTTTTCAGCTTCTTCTAATCGATCCGGTAGTGGTACTGCCTCCTGTAATCAAACAATTTTTTAATTTAATTCCTATAAAAATATGCATTTTTATATATATATGGAACGTGGTCCACTTATAGACGGATACATTTTGTGAACACCCATCATCAGTAGTAGCGGAGTCAAAAAAATTAAATTAGAAAGTGCATATTTGTAACTAGTATATCATAAATAATATAAAAAAAAATCATTGATATAAGTTTTAAAATAAATTACATAATGATAAAGTAATTTTTCATACAAAATTTTAGTAAAAATTTAATATAGTAGTAATATCACGTCATCATTGACATATGATATCACCAACTAATAGTAAAAAAATACATAAAGGATGAATCACAAATGTCAAATGTAATTAACAATTCAATAAATTCTATATTTTCATTGAGATTAATTATAATTGTATGTCAATAATGATAAACATCACTATTGTATTAAAATTTTCATAAATAATAATATAACTTATCGTAATATTTTTATTTTCAATAAAGAAATAGCCATTATTATTCTCATAATTTTAATTGACATTTTACTCAAATAATATTTTATAATTTTTTTATTTAAAATATTTTCTTTAAATTTGTAAAAAAAAAAAATTATATCAAAACCCAAGGACACGTGACCCCTGGACCACTGTTGCTCGGCCACTGCCCATCATACAAATGCACACCCAACGATTTTTTTGGACCATGCAAGTTGATGGGTCCATCATAAATAATAAAAAAAAAATAAAAAAATAAAAAAAAAATTCAATTCAATTCAAATCAAACATGTCAATTTACAGTTTGATATCATATCAGCTGTAAAATCTATCACGTTTCTACTTTCTAGTTACACATCCCTATCACTTTCAAATAAAAATCAATTGATTTTTGAAATTTTATTTTAATCATTCAAAACAAATTAAAAGCGGCCTGTTTAATCAAGCATTTGACTGCGTGTTTATATAGGTGTATGCAAATAATAATTTAGCAATCATTTGCAAAATTTTGAATTTATAAATCAATTTTTTCATGACAGTTTCTTTTTATCGACAAGTATCAAACTGCTATGAGTATTTTCGAAAAAGGAAAGAACGTGACAAAAAAGTGTCATTATGAAATCAAATCTTTGCTTTATATGATATTCTTGGAAAAAAAAAAAAAATTGAAAAAGCAGCAAGGAGGAGATCGTTGTTCATAAAGAAAGATAGAGAGAGAAGAGACCTTGGAGGGATCATGATTTGGGAGCAGAGAGTAGAGCTTGGAATAGAGACTCTTCATATGATTCCTCCTATTCTTCTCTATAATCCTTCTCTCTATTTTGGGAGTTGAAGAAGAAGTGTAATGACAACTTGCCATTTTGCTTCACTTGAAAGTATTGCCACAAACTAACTCACCAAATTAGACTTATATATATATATATATATAGAGAGAGAGAGAGAGAGAGAGAGAGAGAGAGATATGGTTGAGCACAAGATGATTTTGTTAATGCTTTTTTATACTCGGTTGTTAAAGGATAGAGATAGAGGACACAAATAAAGCAGAGTAGAATTGACCATGAAAATTGGAAAGTGGGCATCATCATGATGACGTCGTCAATCATGCCATCACGAGCACACCTCATTAGAAAAAGAAAAATGTTTGCTCTCACTAATTAGTGCTCCCACTGATTAGGTGACAGTGGATCTCGCCATCAATGATGTGATGTTTTGGTCTTAAAATTATGTTTTTTTTTTTTATTTTTTTAATGCATTAATACTATTAGTGGTAATATTTTTAATGAGATGAATCATTGTTGCTAGAAAAATATCAATCTTCTTTTTTTTTTTCTTTTTTTTTTTTTTACCTTAAGAACTGTGTCTTCCACTTCCACGGCAGGAATTGTTGTGACGTCGTCAATCATGCCATCACGAGCACACCTCATTAGAAAAATATCAGTCATTTTATTTATTTTTTTTTTTACCTTAAGAACTGTGTCTTCCACTTCCACGGCAGGAATTGTTGATTGCTTGTACTGTAATTTCACGTGATGCCTACTACTTTATCGTTATTTGGTGATATGTATTTAAAGTGACCACGTCAGGGTCCAATCTCACTCTGATTAGGAGAGTTAGGTCATCTCCAACGATTTATCGAATCTAATATCAGATTTAAAATTTAATAAAAGAATTATTCTTTAAATCTCTAATAGTTTTAATAAATTAGTATCAAATTAAGAATTTAACAAAAAATTTATCAAAATGAGAACAAAATACAGATTTCACTATTTTACTGTGCGTGACCGTTGGAGAAGACCAACCGGTCAATCAGCCAGTTGACCGGCCGATTGACTAACCGATCGACCGGTTTATCAATTCTGCCTTTCTTTTGTTCGACAGGTTTGAACTGTTTTGAACTGGTTTATTTTGAGATAGGTTATTTTGTGGACTATGAATAATTTGAAGAGTGATATAAATTTAAATTCCTATGAAAATATAATTGAAAATGTTACATCTCATATACATATTTCAGAACTAGTCGTTCCAATAATTTACCGTTGGATGGACAGAGTATTTTGAAAATTTACTGTTGCTGATGTGCTCTATAAAATATATCTGTTTCGTAATATCAAGCTATGAATTTCAATTGGGTTGACAGAGTATTTCATTTTCAGAATAGTATTACATTATATGTTGTGAATTTTGTTTATTCTGTGTCATTATAAAAATTTTTCTCAGTGCACTTTAATTTATATTATCTGATTATATTATCTGATTCTGAGGTTGAGTGTATATCATTTTAATATTTTTCAGTAAGTTAGATATTGTATCTACTGAATTTGTTTCAAACTATGGAAGATTTTGAAATGTTTGAGGAATCACAAATGTTGGAGCACAATGCTGATATTAATTTAATGTCGGAAACTTCACGAGAGCAGAACACGCAGAACACTGATAATCATTTTGTTTTAGAAACTTCTCGTGTTTCTCGTGGTAAAGCGTTCATAATTATAGAAGATGAAACTTTATGTAGATCTTGGTTAGCAGTCTCTCAAGATCTCATTACTGGTAATAGTTAGACTATGGCTATATTTTGGGAACGAGTAGTTGTTTATTTTAATTCACAATTGAGCGGTGAATCAAATCGAAACCGTATTTCTTTGTCTCACCGTTGGAGCACAATGCTAATATTAATTTTATGTCGGAAACTTCACGAGAGCAGAACACGCAGAACACTGATAATCATTTTGTTTCAGAAACTTCTCGTGTTTCTCGTGGTAAAGCGTTCACAATTATAGAAGATGAAACTTTATGTAGATCTTGGTTAGCAGTCTCTCAAGATCTCATTACTGGTAATAGTTAGACTATGGCTATATTTTGGGAACGAGTACTTGTTTATTTTAATTCACAATTGAGTGGTGAATCAAATCGAAACCGTTGATTGATGAAAGTTCATAATCGAAATCAAGGTGCTACTCCCTCCCATCTTCGACAATCATTTTATGTAATATAATGCAACTTTTCATTATGTTGACAAGCATTTTCGGATCCCAAAAACGTACAGCACCACCTATAATTGCGAATCGAGATTGAAGCACTCTGAATGCTTGCTCTACATCTTTCCTGGCAGACTCTTGCATCATTGCAAAATGTTGTTTCTTTGCTCCTTAGGGAGAAGAAATTGTTTGAACCAGTATTGCCTATTGAGGGTATATACCATCAGCAAGGTAATAACCCATATCGTAACTATGTCCATTAATAGTGTAATGGACAGGGGGAGCTTTACCCTGAGCAAGATCAGAAAACAAAGGCGATCGGTCTAACACATTCAAGTCATTGTGTGAGCCAGGCATTCCAAAAAATGCATGCCAAATTCATAAGTCATAAGATACTACTACTTCAAGAATAATGGTTGGCTTTTTTTGATAGCCTACGTATTGACCTTACCATGCCTTTGGACAATTTTTTCACTCCCAATGCATGCAATCTAAACTTCCCAACATACCCGGAAAGCCTCGAACCTTCCCAATAGCAAGTAATCTAGCAATATCAATTGGTGTTGGAGATCTCAGATATTCTGGTCCAAAGATTTCAATCACCGAATTACAAAATTGTTGCAAATTTTGAATTGCAGTGCTTTCCCCGATACGTATATAATCATCAACTACATCTGCTGCGACACCATATGACAATATTCTCATCGCTGAAGTCATTTTTTGTAGGGACGATAATCCAACTACATGAGCTGCATCTTGTTTTTGAACAAAATATGAATTGTGTGCTTGGATTGCATTCAAAATTAGCAGACACAAAGGACGACGCATTCGAAAACGTCTCCGAAATATTGTAGGAGAATACACTGGATTTGTAGCAAAATAATCTATAAACAATCTCTCATGGCCCTGCCTTCTATCTCTGCGTATATACTTATGGCCTACAACAGAACCACCTATTTTCTTTGAGCTATCACTTGATTTAAGAATCTGAAGCATACTAGCATTATTCTTCTCATAAGCCCCTAAAAGTGTGACCATATATTCATTATCAGGCTCATCATCAAAGGAAAAGGAAGAAGAAGAGGATGAAAATGAAGTCAAAATCATGGATTTGAAGGTATTCATTATGCTTTGTTTTGTTTTAGCTATGATCGTATCAGTTGTCTGGAGTTGTCTGGCATATGGATAATGTGTTTATATGAGATTTTAGAAGCAAATCATTGTTGGAGGTAAACCAAAACGAAATATATGTAATGGAGAGAAAAAGAAATAAGAAAAAGAATTGGGAACAGAAAGGAAGAGAAACAAAAAAAAAAATAAAAATAAAATAATGGCCTTACCGGTCGACCAACCGGTCGACCCTCCCCCTTTTGATGCTCACCGTTGGAGAAAGCAATATCAAATTGAGACAATTGGTTTTTTTTTACTCAAATTTAATGAAAAATTTAGTTCACCGTTGGAGATGCTCTAACAAGATTAAACCGTGTCGTTAGGTTTTCTTAAGTTCACCACGAAATTTATTTTAATAATTTGATTTATTTTGGGGTTGATGGTTGAAGAGTTCAAGTTAATGAAGAAATAAGACATTAAGTTAAGTAGATATTTTTTATTAGTAAGAGATTTACCTTTTATGAAATAATTTAGTGAGAAGTATTTTTTGTTTATTTTGAAGGACATTTTATTTTTAATTTTACCTTTTAATTTATTTGTTGACTTTTTTATCCGTTGACTATCTGTTCAATTTTTTTTTCTATATGTTTAAAAATTTTCCAATTTGTTTAAATCTTTTGACTAGTAGTTTAAATTTATATCTATCTGTTTAAATTTTATCTGTGTAAATTTTCTACTTGACCAAATTTTTTCTTTGTAAATTTTTGATCTGTTCAGATTTTCTTATCTATTCAATTTTTTTCTTGAAATTTTTCTATCTATTCAATTTTTTTATTTTTATTTTTTATATGTTGAAATACAAAGCCAAACTAAATCACCAACCCTATATGTTCAATTTTTTTTTTTTTTCTATTTGCTCAAATATCTTCTTCCTCTCTATCATTGCAATCTGTTTCATCAATAACAACAACAATAACAACAAAATCATCATCATACACAAATCTGAACCACGAATAGGAAGTCGGTGAAAATATATATCTAAACGATGAAAATACAAAACAAAAGTAAAGAAATACAGATCTAAAATACAAATCTAACCTTAAGTAAACAAAATCAAGCACGACGTTGCAGAGAGCAATGGTGTTTTTGGAAAAGGAGTTTCGACATCTTTGGTTTACAATAGGTCTTATTTTCAAATATCACCACAACACTATAAATTTTTGAAAATTAAATCGTAAAATTAGACCAAGAAGATCAACTCCATTATTGATCAAGCATCGATGAAAAATATCTTAGACAGAGAAGACCAATTCCAGACACAGCCAAAACTAAATCCAAACCCAAACCCACAATTCTATCATCCAAATATGTGAGAAAAAACCACACATAAAGAGAGACAGAGAGAGAAACAGAGACAGAGATACAGAGACAGAGAGAGAAAGACATGGATTGACGACAGGAATGGGTGATGGTGGTGTTTTTGGTCTGTGTTCGACTGTCGTGACCAGATCTTCGATCGATATCTTGCTCTTATCATCAACGACAAGCTCAACAATGCACAAACCACATTCTACTTCGATGTCTTTGTATCTCTCTTTAATACATAAATTAGGGTTTTGATTACTCATGTGCTTGTGATCAAAGACTTCTTGCGTCATCGGATCAAGTATTTAGCTGATGATGAGGACTTTTGCTTTGTTGAGCTCATTTCTGGAGCGATGTTTTGATAAGATCAAGGATGAGATTGGACCAGTCTCCATCGAATAGAGAGAGCGCCAATTGAAGAAGAAAGGGATGAATGACCGATCGACCGTCGTCATAGTCTCTCTAATTGATGAAAACCCTAGAAATCGAGAACATATATAGAGAAAGTGAAGATGGATATATACATATATGGGTAAATTATGTAAATGTTCCTTGTAGTTTACACAATGTATCAATTTGGTCCATGATATTTCAATTTACTCGATTTTGCCCCTTAATTTAACAGTTTGTGCCATTTTAGTCCAATAAATAATAGTTGTTAAGTTTGACGGACGGAAAGTCTACACAATGTGTCAGTTTGGTTCCAATTGTTTTAATTTGCTCGATTTTGATAACGACAAAATTAACACATTGTGTAAACTATAGGGACCAAATTGACATATAGTTTGACTTTTCGTCCACCAAACTTAACAACCGTTATTTATTGGACTAAAATGACACAATCCGTTAAATTAACGAACAAAATCGAGCAAATTAAAACAATAGGGACCAAATTGACACATCATGTAAACTACAGGAACTATTTGTATAATTTACCTAACATATATATATATATATATATATAGAGAGAGAGAGAGAGAGAGAGAGAGAGAGAGAATCTAGAGGTGAGAAGTTTTTGTTGTTTTTTTGCTCAGATCGAAGTCGTAGAAATGGTGGAGATCGACGGCGATTGAGCAACCGGACGGATTTCAGCGTACGACGGTGACAGTAGGAGTTGAAGGGGAAAGAGAAAGAGAAGAAGGAAAGAGAGAGAAAGAGAGTGTTTGGTTTGGTTTGAAAACAATACAATTTCCATGCGTGAACTGTTAGCCAAAAAGAATTCAAATTTGGATTTTTAACCTGAGCATCCTTTATTTATAAATTATTTTATAAAAAAAATATTTAGACTGTGAGTGGACTGTTAGGTAAAAAGAATTCAAATTTGGATTTTCGGCCTAAGCACCCTTTATTTGTACGTTATTATTTATAAATTATTTTATAAAAAAATTATTGAGACTCATTTGATAATTGATGATTTTATGATATTAATCTTCAAAATTAATGGTTTATTTTTAAAATCATATATTTTTTTTAACTTTTAAGACAAATATAATGATAATAACTTTTCCATTTTATTGTATTTGTCTGTCTAATGATCGTCTATTTTTTCTTAAATAAATTCTATAAAATGAATAAATTACGATTATAGAATTAATTCTTTTTTTATTATAAATAATATATATCAAGGGCCTTACAATAAACGGTTCGGACTATTGAAATGAAACTTATGATGTGCCCATGAGTCCAGACATGACAATCAAATTTAAATTAACTTGATTAATTTATATTATTAATATATAGTTATATAGAATAAATATAATATATACATATAAAATTATTGTTACTTTCTCATGTTAGATTAAATCATATTTCAATTTTAAAAAGAGAATTTTATTTTTTCTCTTATACTATCACTCAAAAATCAATTTAAACATTGTTATTGTAATAATATAAATTTCACAGTTAAATTATTCGATTTTAAATTAATTTATCCCGTCATTAGTTGTTGTCTATAATTAAACAAAAATTATTGATTTAACACCGAAATTTCATCTAAGACTTCATTTTACCTATCAAATTATTTTTAAAATATCAATTAATTCTCTAAATATATATAAAAAAATAAATTTAAATATTTAATAATAATTTAGATGTACAAAATTTTTAATTTTTTTTTTATATTATAATAATAGATAGCGACGTGCTATAGAGACGATGGCAGTGGTAATGACGTGGGGTAGAAGTGTCGGTTGGTAAATCCAATTGCATCGTGGAAGTGAAATAATTTATGGAGTTTTCTTAAGTGTGCAAGTGCACACCATGTGCCACTTACACAAAAAGTGTAAGTGTAAGATGTAAGTATAAGTATAAGGTGTAAGTGTAAGGTGTAAGTGTAAGGTGTAAGGTGTAAGTGGGTTGCACATGGTGTGCAACCTCAAAAAAGGTGTAAGTGTAAGGTTTAATTTTTTACAAAAGGTGTAAGTGTAAGGTGTAAGTGTAAGGTATAAGGTGTAAGGTGTAAGTTGCACACCATAACCAAACCCTTTATTTATATACATTATAAGAGGTTGTTTGCGGTGTGTTATGTAGGCATTTTTTTTATTTTTTTTTATTTTTTTCACATTATCTCTTTATTTATATGTATATTTTTTCATAAAAATTCAAAAAATATATTTATTTAAATTATTTCAAAACTAGTTAGGTTAAAAAGTATAAAAGATAAAATAAGTTAAATAAATCAATAAAATAAAATATCACAACTAAATTATAATCATTTTATTTTTTCTTTTATAAAAGTTAAAAAATAAAAAATCCTAACTAAATGAATTTTTTAATTCCAAATTAAAGAAAGTGTCAATTTAAAAACTCAATTAAAAAAGTTAATGCCAAACGACGACAAATAAAAAGAGCTTATAATACCAACTTGAGAGGAATGAAATATAAGTATTAAGAGTGAAATTTTACTGAAAAAACTCCCTTACAACTTTAGGGTGGTTTGGAATGAACTAAATGAGTGTATTTTTTAATTTTTTATGAAATATGAGTTGGGTATAGGTTAGATTTGAAATGATGTGATAGAAAAGTAATATAACTTAAATAAAATGATATAACTTAAATAAAATAATAACATTTTAATTTTTTAATTTTTTAATTTTTTTTTAAATTATGACAAATAAGACCTTTGTTGGAATTTTGTTTCCGTAGGAAACCACTAATGTAAGAGTGACCGTCAACTGCATAGTGATGTTGCAACACCAACTTTTCTTCTTGTGCTCTTTTAGACTTTTAGCAACTTGCACATAAAATAATATACGTTATTCAAGTATAAAAGTTGAATTTATTTTTTAAATTTATTGATATAGTAATTACTCCCTTCATCCCAAAATAATGGTTCCTTTTGGAGAATTCAACTTTTTTTGATAATACAATTATTGCATTTGAAAAAAGTTGATTTTCCAAAATAATCCTTTTGATAGTACATTTTTTGGGAATATCAATGTCATAATTGTACTTTTTATATTGTTTATTAATTTAGAAGAAGGGCAAAATAGGAAATTTATATTATTTTTGTACTTGATTTTTGAAGAGGGACAAATATTTTGGGACAATGAAAAATAGAATAAGGGACTAATATTTTGAGACGGAGGGAGTAATTGAAATAGTAATTAATTAGCACTCTATCACATCTTCTTTAAATTAGATTTGTATAT